ATATATATATATATTGATCCGCAAGTTGAGCATAAGTATTCACATCAATAAATGAAGCATGTTTTAGGAAATAGAATATCAGAAGGGCACATGTATTTTATAATAATGTATCCAAGACTAGTTGTATATCATCTATCCCATATGCCTTATATTTGAAATACAATTTATTTCACACATTTTAAATCCTACAAGAATCCAATGATCCAAACTTCCCCTTCCCCTTAAACATCGATATGTAATTTAAATTAGGAAAGTTGAATCTGACGTTAACTTTTTATTTAAAAACGTATTTTTTTCTGATAAGTCGCTATGTAAACTGAAAAAAATGAGACTACCGTTCCGAGTTTATTAAAAGAAAAGATAAAAAGAGGAGGAAAATAAAGAGAAAAAGAAAGAAAAAAAAAAAACAAGGGAAAGATATAAAAAGATGTGAGATGAAGTTGTTTGATAAAAGAAACATCAAAGGTGGTGAACAACATAGTATTAATTTAATAAAAATATTTAAAATTTACTAGGTAATATGGGGTGTGTTTTAATTTTAGCCAACCCTAATTTATAGATGTTAAATAATTTTTTGTATTAGGGTGAATGCCAAACCGATAAAAAAAAAAAAAAAAAAAAAAAAATTTGTATTGGATTACTTTCTCTTGAAATCCGCATATTTATGGAGGAAAGATATCGAATGGGATTAATTATGAATACTCTTATTTTCTTTTCTATCTAACTTCCTTCCAAAAAAGGTTTTTTTTTTTTTTTTTTTTTTTTTCCTTTCAACTTTCATTTAACTTTTCTCTTTAAAAGGACTTGGAAACATAACGTTTAAGCTTGAGAGCTTATAAGTAAAACATTTTTTTAAAGAGAAATTAAATATCTTTCTACTATAATTTTTAGATAATAAAAATTTAATAATTTTTGATTTCTCTATTTTAAACCTACTTTTGAGTTATTTTCAATAAATCACCATGCAAACCGAAAACTTGAGAATTGGATCGATCTGAGACCTTTTAGTTTCAATATGTAAGTCATGCGAATACATGGCAAGAAAACTCAAACGCACACGATTGGAGAAAATACAAACAAAAGAAAATACTTATCATTGTTTAGTGAAGTGATTCTTATACAATCTGTATACAAAATATACAAAAAAAAAAAAAAAAAAAAAAGGAGAGCCTCATCTTCCTCAGCATGCAAAATGCCCGAACATTCTTCAAAAACTTATGTATGGGCTTTCTGGAAAGGTCTGGTCTTCTTTGTGCTCTATTTCTGCTTCTTTTTTTTTTGTTTTCTTTTTTTTACATCCCAGTATATTCATATATATATATATATATATATATATATATATATATATATATATATATATATATATATATATATATATATATATATTCATATATATATATATATATATATATATATATATTATATATATATATATATATATATAAAATAAAAAAATAAATATGAAAAAAGGAAAATGAAGTTTCTCAAATTAGAAAGTTGAGATGCATCTTCTATGTGTAGGAACCTTCTGTTTTTTCTGCTTTAATTCCGCTTTCCATTCTTTTCCAATATCTTTTGATATTTTCATTGCATCAGCAGAAGCACCAGCCAGCCCTCTCCTTGTAAACCCTGCAGCGTACAACCCTCCCTTTCCCTTCCAACCATTTGGAAATGGGGTTTTTGGGAATCCATTTTCCGCAAAGAATTCAGATTCCTGTTCATCAAGAAAGTCAAGTTTTAATTAGTCAAAACGAATGGATTCAATCAGTTACGAAAAAATGCGTAAAAAGCATGAACTATGATGCTTACATGAAGCCAAAATGGGACGTTGCTGAAATAACCAGTTGCTAAAACGACAGAATCGATATTGAGGATGTCGCCGTTGACTAACTCGACTGTCTTTCCGGTGAACTTTTTGATTCCCGGCACGACGGTGATGTCGCCTGAACGGATTTTCTCCAGTGCTCCTATGTCAAGAACTGGTGTCTTTCCATGGTGGTTTTTGAGTGTTAGTGGGCCTAAAGATGGTCGCTTTATGCCATAACTTTGAATGTTTCCAATTATGAACCATGCGAAGAGCAATAAAAGCTTGTCAACTATCCATAGAGGTAACCATTTCATCAGCATCATGGCTAAATCAAATGTGGATTTTCCGAACATCTCTCTTGGTAGAACATGAACCTGAAATCACGAAATGATGAATTAGTATCCTGTTAACTGAAATGTGGGTTGATTTTCTTGAAAAAATAATATCTGTTGCTTTGATGTTTCATGAAGGCGGGTAACTTACCGAGTTCCGAATCACCATTGATGGCTTCGCATTGTGATTGGATAGATCAAGAGAGACTTCCATGCCAGAATTCCCACACCCCACGACCAAAACTTTTTTTCCTTGGAATTTTTCGCCGGACTTGTAGTCTTTTGCATGGATGACTTCACCGGAGAACTCTTGTAGACCTTCGATTTCCGGAACTACGCCTTCTGCGTTTTCTCCGGTTGCCACAACAAGCATCTGGCAGATATACTCAGTCTCGGACCGGACTGATCCAGCTGTCGAGACGGTTTTGACCCGCCAGAGCTTGCAGGCCTCGTCATACTTAGCTGACTGAACACACTCGTTGAATTGTGGCCTGATGTCGAATTTTTTTGGCATAATTCTCAAGGTAAGTGATGAACTGTTTCTTTGTTGGGTACTCAGGGTATTCTTCGGGGAAAGGTATTTTAGGAAGTTGACAGAATTTTTTAGGAAGGTGGAGTTTGAGGCGATCGTAGGTTCGTTTTTGCCAAAGGGATGCGATACAGTCGGATCTTTCAATCACTACAAACGGAATCCCTTGGTCCCGAAGACAGGCTGAAATCGCAAGGCCCCGAAGGACCTGCCCCTACTATAACTGGCCCGTTGACCCACACACATCGACGGCCAAATAAGTTATTTTGCTCTGAAAAGCTAAACATTTTTGCAAATATGTATATGTATATATATGCCAAAAGTGTTTGGAGTCGCTTTCAATTTGAGGATTGATGTAGGATTTGGGTTTTGTAGGTTTTAATTCAAAAGTGAAAGGTTGTTGTTGATGTGAGTTTTGAATGAGATGATAGGAGATGAAGAGGTGTATATATATAAGGTTGGGGATGGGGTAGGGTGGGGTTGGGGTGGAGTGGGGTGGCATGTGATATGGGTGGTGGGGTAATTAATGCATCTTTGAAGGGTCACTCTAAAGTCTAAATATTATAAGCTAAACCATAATTTTAAATGATTTATCCATACAATAATGACAAATCGCAATGTACGCAATTATACATAGCTAAATAATTCCGCATAAATCTTTTGGGATTTATTTAAATTTACAATTTAAAAATTTCTATATGATTGTTTCTCAAGATTCTTTTTCTTTTTTTAGAACAACTACAAATAAAATAAAGGAGAAATTAAATATTCATATTCATCTAAATCAAAACAATTCTCAAAATCAAGATAAAAGATTAAAAAATATATATATATTAAATTTTATATGTTATTATTTTATATGAGTAAGAAGAAAAATAAACACAAATGATAAAAGTATATGCTCTAAAATAAATCATACAGAAATAAGATGAAACAAAATCAATACCAAAAAGCAAAATAAATATAACTTACTTTTAAGGTTGCATGGTATATTTTGGATGTCAATTTGGCTGTCAATGATGTGGTTAGAGGTCATGACCAACAGACCACCCTTTTTGGTATGGTGATGAAGTGGACAAGATTGATGTTCCTAAATGTGGTTTCAGATTTAAATAAGTGTTCAATGTGATAACTAAATTGATATATCTTTGAAAATAATAACAAAACTTTTTTTAGGGTTGTTCTCAAGAACTAAAATAATTAGAAAAAGATTTAAGAAAGTAAGATAAATAGTTTATTAATTTATCATAACTTTCTAAATTAATTAGAAACTTGTTGGAATTAATTTAGAATTAATTTGATTTAATTTTGAATTAAATGGACTTAATTAGAATTAATTTGGAATTAATTAAAGGTGCACATAATGAATGTTAAGTGTTCAATAGTTGAGGTTGAGCATATGGATGTTATTCGGATCAAAACCATACCGAACCCGAATAAACCGAAAACCGAATAAGATTATTTAGAGGAACCAAAAACCGGACCAATTAAACCAATACAGATCCGATCCAGTTTGGATATTAATCAGTCTCAGTTATTATCCGAATAAACCGAATAACATTTACAATAATCAAAGGAAATCAACTTATTTAAAAATTAAATGTGGATCAAATGATCCAACCATAGTTCTACAAATATTAAAATCTTCTTCTACGAGGAACAAAACATCTCGAACATATGTATGATCTATTACAATAGAGTAAATTTTACTTTTAAAAAAACTTTAATACCCATTGTTTAGGAGCTTGTATCTCAATGAATATATAACAAAAAAAAGTGCATGTAATATGTAAATAGTACTTTAAATTGTTAACTCCAAGCTGGAAAAAAAACCAACCAAATAACAAAGATGTTATGACAGTTCATAGTTGCCCTAAATTTCTAAAACATGTTGAACGTAAAACTTAGCTTCAATACCTCATATTTAAAGGATTGTATCAAATTAAATATATAACCAAAAAATGCATTTAAACTATGTAAACAGTAGTTTAAATTGTGAACTACAAGCTAACAAAAATCGTGCAAATTAGATAAATAACAAAGACGCTATGATAGTTCGAAGTTGCCCTAAAAATTAAGACTTTTCAATTTTCGGTTCGGTCCTTTAGGCCCGATTAATACGTTATTCAAGTAACCGGAACCGAATAACCCGAGAACCAAATAATCCTAAAATACATACCTAAGAACTGACCTGAATAGCTTATTCGGTTCAGTTCGGTTCAGGTTTCAGTTTCAATTCGGTTTTTAGTCCAAACGTTCATCCTTAGTTGAACAAGAGAAACATTCTAGAATCCCTAAAGGGGATTGACAGTCTTGGGAGGCCTAGATGGCTCCTAGAATTGTTTTAGTTATCAGATAAAGAAAAAAAATCAATTTAGATTAAATTTGATTATTTAATTAATTCAAATCAGCTTTATCTACAAGTTACCTCAGTTATAAATTAACCCTTAGAACCTTCATAATTTTTTCCTAATCTTTCATACACATATAGAATGTAATTTTCTCAAATGTTCTCTCATCTCTCCTCAATTTCCTAGGATTTTAGACTTTGGGGTGTGAGCCTTTAGAGGTATTCCTACTTTGGGTATTAGTCCTTCCAAGAGTTCAAGATCTTCAAAGTAACCACAAGTATATACGATTATACTTGAAAGGTTAGTAATTATATCCCTCTTGTTAGTTTATATTCAATGTTTTGAAAGTAAGTTGTTATAATAGGAAAACCTAGATCTAGGATGCATGTATACTTAAGATTATACTGAATGCTTCCATTACCTAATATTAGTGTATAGATGTATAGAAAACCCTTCAGTGTTATCAAAGACATTATGTTTTAGTTATGAGCATTACTTGAAAAAACTGAGAAAATAGAAGAAACATGTTAATCGTAAGGCGCGACTCACTTTCACAGATTTTCAAGTTTCGGTATTTTTTCTATAATTTCAAGTTTTGGTGTAACACCGTAAATTTCAAGACAAAATTTTCATTTAAAATAATTTTTTTTATTCTTAGAAACACTTGTTTAAAATCTCATTCATAGTCGATTTACAAAACATGACTCAAATTTTCACTTGCATAGAAAACCAGGATCCTCCAAAATATGACTCTTTCTCTGGTGTGTACAATCAAGCCGGTGCCGTCCCGTGATACTGAAAGAAACCTGAAAAACATCACACAAAACACTGTAAGCACGAAGCTTAGTGAGTTCCCCAAAATACCACACATAACACATATTAGCCACTCGAGGCTATAACTCTATGGGTCCGTGCACCCAAACTCTGTGAACCCTCAGGTTCTAACTCTGGGAACCTTCCGGTTCCAACTCTATAAACATGCACAGCATAAATCACATAGAAATAATGCAGTACAACACATCACGTACATATAGCATACAAATACTCTGATCACATAACTCTGGTTACCTACTCAAGGTAAAGTATAGTGAGAAGACTCACCTGGCAAGCAGAAAGCAGATATCCCCACACTTGAATCTCGAACTTGCCACCGCCTAACACGTAAGGCAAATACTCTCATGAATATAACTCTCGAGACTAGAATAAATCCTCTCATAACACCCTCTTATGGGTAAAAGACTATTTTACCTTTCTCTTGGCCCAAAGGCCACATCGCTGACCAAACCCTAAAAGTCAACGGCCAACCCTTGGTCGAAATCAAAGTCCTCAGTCTAAGTCAACCCCTGACTAACCCTACTCGCCGAGTCAACCCTGTGACTCGTCGAGTTCCCATAATCAGAACTTCACTCAATCTGCGACCTAACTCGCCGAGTCACCCCGAGACTCGCCGAGTCCAACAACTCTGAGTCCACTCGCACACAACTCACCGAGTCATCCCTCGACTCACCGATTCTCGACTCAACCAGAGAATATTTGGGACTCTTCGACAAGACTCGCCGAGTCCAAATGGACTCGTCGAGTCCAAGGCTATCTTCAACCTACTCGTTGAGTTGTTCTTCCAACTCGTCGAGTTCCAGGCCATCTTCAAGCAACTCATCGAGTCGACCCATGTGACTCGCCGAGTACCACCGTTCTGAATCCATTCAGAAGCACTCCAGGCCATGCAATTGATCCAACACATAGATCTAGCCTCCTACAACCCATCCATCACGTAAAGTGGCAAACTTTACGTGAATCCAAAGAGATCTAAGCCGTTTGCACATTGGGGCTAGGGTTTGGGACATGTAAGCTTCACTAAACACTCCAACACAGGGACTTTCATGCTCTCTGATTCTTCTCCCTTCCAGATCTGAGGTAGCAACCTCAGATCTAACCTCTAGACTTCCCATTTCATCCCTAGACAATTTCTCACAAACCCCAAGCAAATCCCCTTGCTCCAAGCCTTCAATCTTCCCAAAATTCCTTCAACCATTACTTCTCCAAGCTCCAATCCACTCAACAATGGTGCTTCTCCGTGATTTAGGGTTTTCTGGGGCTCAAGGGGTGATAAAAAAGGCTGGGAGGAAAACATAGTGATCTTTATATAAGGCTCAACCCCGAGAATTAGGGTTTTCTCCACTCAGCGCCTACTCGCCGAGTCCATTACACTGACTCGCCGAGTCGGCCACTTAACACGCGACCAGGTCGCGACTCTACTCGCCGAGTCCGCACATGGACTCACCGAGTCACTCTTTCCTAATTTACTCTTTTAGCCCTTCAACTCTACTCTTGATATTTCGGGATGTTACAATTCTTTCCCCACTTAAATTAGGCTTCGCCCTCGAAGCCTACAACAACTCAACTCTAGAAGTACTCCCACAACGTGCCACCTGGCCTTAATCGGACCAGATCTCACAAGGCATACCCATCGAAACTCGAACACACTTTTCCTTTCCTTACGGTGTCCTGACCACTGTCTCGAACCGGGCACCGGATGTACCCTCTGATAACCACACTCAACGATCCGAGAATTACCCATGAAACATCACTGACCCAAATCTCAACAATCACTCGACCCATAAGGGTTAGAAGCCATGAACCATCGGATCCCCGATCCGAATCCCATTCTATCCAATCCGTGACGATAGAAAGGCCCACTCTTCAATCCCAGAGCAACTCTCATGAGTCCTCTTCTTGCAATCAAGCACCCAAGCCGCACCAACCTTCGCACTCTCGGGTTAGGAGAACCCGCCGCACTGATGACATCTCTAACATTCCCAGGAGACACCACCACTACGCACACGGCCCTTGATCAGAATCAAGCTGGGAGTCCCAGACTCCATCCCTACATCCATCCTGAGACTCTTGGCTCTACACCCGCGGAATCCCTTCCGCATCCTCAGCAGACATCCCATCATGATGTCATTCCATACCACTGTCACAGACACAATGTTCGACCATCAGACTCCAAATCATCCATTCTCACTACAACTTCCACTTCCTCGAATCGACACTTTCC